TTTGCCTTCTTCTGGAGGATATGCCATTGACGCTGGCTCGGCGTGACCCTTTTCTAATAGCCCGTTCATGTATTGAGTGTAACGAATGTGGAGGGCTGGGTCTCTTTCCAGTCTCTTTTTGAGACCTATGGCTCGTCTCTCTGCTAGGGCTCTGTTATTTGGAAGCCGAACGCTTTCAGCCTTAAACGGAAGGGCTATTTCATAACTACCGTTCTTCAATTGCACACTCCCTTCTACCTTGGTCTTCCAAAGTTTATCTTCTTGTGACATGTTTTCATACCCCGTCATCGTAGCAGTCTTATCTGTGAAATCATTGTTGAATATTGTGATCATCATTTCTTGTAACTTTTCTGTTTCCAATCGTACAGTGTTCACTTTAACGTCTGCTGCATTGTAACTGACTTCGGACATTACCTTAGGGCCAACCACCGTCCAGCCCAAGCAAGTTTTCAAGGCGTAAGGGCCACCGTTTTGGCTGTGGATTACCTCCCATGGCTCCATTGCTTTCGGGCAGTCGCATCCTATTAATATTCCAATTTTATCCGCCTTTACTTCTGGGATTTCAATTTCTAGATAAGACCACTGTTTCTTCAAACTTGTTCTTGCTACATCTTGGTCTCCAACTGGAATGGTTGGTATCGTATATACTGGTGGTAGCGGAAGAGAGTTGTTACCGTTGACATCAGCTACATGTAACCCCGTTACCAGTCGACTTTTAACCGGGCTAGCTGTATGTTCTACTGTGGTAATAGTGAGCAGCGTCTCTTCTCCAGTTTGACCCAACTGACTTCGTAACTCTTCCGTTATGAATGTATGTACTTTGACTGCCGTTATCCAAAAATGCATATGTCTTGACAGGGGCTTTGCCTGAGACGCTTAATTGTACCGGCAAGACTGGTAGAACTGTGCCTGAAGCGACTGCCTTGGTCCCACCACATAATTTGTTTTGTGGAGTACTTGAATTTGGATCGGTACTGACACTGTCATGGTGAGGCGGAAGGGAAGGTCTGGTGACGGGTTTGAATTCCACGTGCAGTAGAGATGGATGCCTTTTGTCACAATGACGACATTGCATTCGCCTTCTACAATGTTTCGATACATGATTTGGACGAAGACAAGCAAAACAAAGTCGTTTCTCCTTTATTTTCTCGATCCTTGCAGATATATCCATCTGAAGTAGAACAGGACATGATTCAATTGTATGACATTCGTCACATGCGTAACATCGCACGTCTGAATTTGTGGTTGCAGTGTAAAATGTTGATTTGAACGATTTTCCGTGGCTTGGTTTTGCATCCATCATTTCTTTCACTCCAAACACTGGGTCGCTGCATATACACACTTGCCGCTCCACAAATTCAACTATATCTCCAAAATCTGACTTCATATTTTGTTGCGAACTTTCAAACACTAGCTGACGCCATTTTTCTTGCAACTGATATGGTAACTTGCCAACGATTTTCTGAAGATTCCTAGGATGATTTACCTCGCTGAGAGCGCCCAGAGATTCCATTGCATTTTTACAGCTTCGAATTAGAATTGAAAAATCTTCCAAACAGTCAACATCCAATGATTTCATCTGCGGCCAAGAGAGAATTTTATCAACATAAGCAGAAGAAATGCGATGCTCGTCGCCATACTTGCGATCCAGTGCCGCCCTGGCATCCTTGTAGCCTCTGTCTGGCTGTAAGTGCACATATCCTTTCACGATTTCATGTGGTTTTCCTGTTACGCTTTGAAGCAAGAAATAAAGTCTTTCGGCGTCGTTCTCAGTTTGGGTTTCGATACGGCTTATAAATGAACGGATAAACATAGGGTATTCCATGGGATCACCCTTAAATTTCGTTATTTCGGTCTTCGGTAGGGAACTTCTTCGTTGTTGTCGTAACATAGTTTCTGCCATGTCGTACATTTGCGCACCGCACGTCTTGCTGTGACCAACATCAGAGTGAACAAATTGTGAAGATGTGCCAGGAACCTGAATTTGATGTGAATGAGTTGTTTCATCAGTATTTTCCATTATATCACTCGCAGCGAAATATTTTTCACGGGCATGAATGGCTGCTAATTCTTCTTCAATGTTTAATTGCTCTTGTCGCAATTTTAGACGTAACTCTTCCTCAAGTAGACGCTGTTTTTCTTCAAGAATGCTCGATCGTGCTTCTAGCTCCGCCCTTTTCGCCGTGTCGACGGCTCGCTGATTTTTAATGAAACTTGATGACGAAGACGTTGAAATTTGTGACGCACTATCTTCAGGTTCAATGTCCATTTGTGAAGTCTTGTGTGATGAGATGAGTCTTTTAATGAGGTCGTCTTTCGTTCCTGTTGTTTTTAGTCCCCTTTCTTGCAATAAAATTTTCAACACCTTCTTGGTCTTCGTGTTGTATGCTTCCATCTTCAATTCTCTTATGAAATTTAAGTTACTTTATCTTATAATCGTCTTATACGACCATAAAACTACTAATCTACGTTACTTTACTTGTATTGTTTTTAGACTTATGTAGAGTTCGGAGTGTTCGACGTAGGTATCGAAATTTCATTTTACAGAGCACCGAATTTACATATTGTCTTGTGAAAGTTTAACTCATACAAAACAAGCATGAATTAAAGTATATAACATAAGACAATCTTGCTTGAATTTACTTGAATTGTGCCCGTCTAAAAACAATATCAAAACTAGAACACATAGCCGGAAACTACATCTTTTGAAATAACATTTTTCCTTTCAAATTATTTTACAGACGGAGCACGAGAAATTTAGGTCGTAAAAAGGCGTAACCTGATTCCGTGCTGAAACTAATGCAGCACCGCCTCTTTATGAATGAACTGCGAGACGATTTGAAGGCTGTTCAAATTCTTCTAGACAAAGAAGGCCATCCCGATGATTCCCCACACAGTGAAATGCTGTCTGAGGAGATATTTATGGCGTCTCGTCTGCTGGCCCGACTCGAGGGAGCGGCGAGGGGAGCGACGCAGGCCGGAGCGCTTGAACATGACGTCAGCCTGAGTAGCGACCTCCGGTCCTCACTCGTTGTTAAGATACCTACCTTCAGCGGAGACCTGATGAAGTGGCGCTCGTTCTGGGAGCTGTTCGCCGTCTCCATACACAGCAACAGCCGGTACAGCAACATCGAGAAGTTTGTGGTCCTGAAGTCGCACCTCAGCGGCTCAGCCCAGAAGGCCATCGACGGCATCCCTGTGACTGGAGACGGATATCTTGCCGCCATCGACATCCTCAAGAGGAGGTTCCAGAGAGAGGACATCGAGAGGGAGACTCTGATGAGACGTCTCTTTGATGCACCTGCCGTCCACAACGGGAACGACCTGAGCGCCATGCGGAACCTCGTAGACCACCTGTCTGCCCACACGCGTGCTCTGGCCACCCTCGGAGTGAACCCCGACAGCTGTTCCATTCTGCTTCTTCCAGTCATGAAGGAGAAGCTTCCTCAGGACTGGCGACTGGAGTGGGTTCGACAGGAACAGCCCAGCTACGAGCACCTGCTGCTGTTTCTGGAAAGGGAGCTGGCACTCCGAGAAACCGTCCGAGCCCCCAGCCCACCCCCCAAGTCCAGCGACACCATCCTCATCTCCTTCCACAGCTTCTGCCCTGTCCATCCAGCGGCAGACACCGGCGAAACAGGCCAAATCATGGACCTGTGAAGCGTGTGGCCGAGGACAGCATGGACTGAACCAATGCCTGGCATACAGAGCCATGACAGTCGTTGACCGATGGAGGACAGTGGGCAAAACTGGTGTTTGCTACCAGTGCCTGGGCCCTCACAGGGTTCGGTCCTGTATGAGCCATCCATGTTCGTCCTGTGGGGAGCCTCACCACACATCGCTTCACCATCCGACCCAGCACCAACCGACAAGGCCTGCACCTGAGGCACCGAATCTGCCACCACCATTTACCGTGTCGTCAGGATACCGACCTGACTACGTGGGGAGTGCCACCACGCAACGACCATCACTTACCACCACATCAGGATACCGACCTGATGATGTGCCGACCCACCACACATTCCACAGTCGCAGAAGTGATGACATGTGTAGCCTCAACCCGATGGAGGTCTCAGACCAAGAAGCTGTGAACCGAGACGGCCTCCCAGTGACCGAACCCTCCTGTAACGACACCGCACAGCGGTGCAAGACGAATCTTGTGCAGGAGTTGTACTGCCAATCAGTAGCCAGCTCTGCCAACCGGTCCACTCACCAGATGATGATGCCGAAACGGAAGCTTCAAACCAGCCAGCCACCCAAATCCGAGACGCGGAGCGATGCTGTCATCGAAGAAACAGCAACCAAACCACCGAAACCGACATCGAATGTGGAGGATACCGCCCTCCAACCCACCTCTGAACATGGTGGAGGAGACCGCTCCATTGGCACACCGGCCATTGGATACTCCACCAACCTGAATGATGATGCCGCCCTCTTCCCTCCTCACCATGAAAGTAGGAAAAAGAGGAAGCTACGTGACGTACTTGAAGGATCTGTGGAAGACATCACCGGACAGAGTCTTGCACAACACCTACCTGCAACCGGACAAAAACCGACCGTGACAACTGGTGGCTGTGACACTCAGTTCCCAAGCAGGGAAACGGCATACCAGACTGACACCTGGAAGAGCTGCCGTCGGATGATGGAAACGGGACCACAACGATCCGTCAGCAGACTGCACCGCCACAACATTGAGCCTGACTAATCTGACGTCTCATCAAACTAGTCATACGGAGACTAGTAGCACGATTCATCTTTACCGACATTTTTCACAGCACTCGCCATTCACCACGGCATCACCACCAGCATATGCATCATGAGCACAAACTTCTTCTTGGCCTTATCTGCCTTTGTTATAGCCCCACGCTTACTACTGTGTGATCTGTGTGTTTGGTTGTGTGCGTGTGTGGATGTGTCTGTGCTCTGCCCGTACATCATACTCACGATGAATTTAACTCTGCCATCAGAACGTTGACCTCATCAACATTTTCAACCAAGAGATGGAGGAAACCCAGTCCTGGTTCCGCCGGATGGCGGTGAGGCGTCGGTGAGGACCCGCAGTACCGGCTCGCCAGACGCCGCCCGGTGTTCAGCGCCGACAGCCTGCGGTTCATCTCCGACTGGGCGACTCAGTGGCTTGAGACTCCCACATGAGCTTCCTCGCCAGTCGGGAGTAGGGTCGGCATTTTGAGCCGCCCTCGCCTTCCACTGGGGCTTCAGACTGCGAGCGCGCCGGTCATCTTCCAGTCGACGGTTTACCACGTCCCGACAATATGGGCGGCAACGAAACTTTGCGGTGCCGGCACATCAGATCAGACGCAACCGGCGCTCATTGTACCGACGACCTGCGGCGCGCCTCCTACCAAGCGACGCAGTGACCTAGTGGGGTTAAGACTGACAGTGATTTGTGTGATTGTGGACATCGGCGTTTCGAAAACAAATGCGATTTGTTTTCGAGTGGGGAGTATGTTAAGTTTGTATTTATGTTATAGTCGCAATTATATTTTGTTACCTTGCGTCGCGTCGTATTATGTTACCGTGTTGTATTTATCGAGCGGGTCGACGGCGTTGCCCGACCTGGCCGCCCGCCGCGGGCCGGCGTGACCGCTATGGCGCATGCGCGCTGACCTGGAGCCGGTCACGTGATCGACAGTGACCTCGGCGCGGCGGTGCCTGGACGGGGGCAGTAGGCGAGCGGGAGGCGGAGCGGACGGTGGCCGGTATTCCGGATCGGCCACGGCTGTCCGTATCTGTCTCTCGGTCCCTGCTCCCCTCGGCCTTCCTCGCCAGTCGGGGTGGGGGTGGCATCCAGAGCTGCCCTCACCTTCCGCTGGGCGGTCGGCACCTACCCACCTTTTGTGTGCGCCTACCCACCGACCATTACCTGTGTAGTGCCCTGCCTACCCACGACCATTGCCTGTGTGATTATGTACCACCATCGCCAATACAGCCGCTTAAACGTATTTTAACTCTTTGGTCCTTAATTCATTTTTTTATGCGCCTGATTCTCCACTCTTAAACCACCACTTTTAACAGGCTTTTGGGAGCGCCTAGTGGGCATAACAAAGAAGAGTCAAGATAACACTTCACATGTGTCGCCTTTCTGACGAGGAGCTCGCTGTGACTCTGTATGAGTTGGCGTACCACTTGAACCTGCGTCCACTTACAACAGCTGATGATGAAGTTCTTACACCGGCTCACCTCCTCTTCGGTGTGACCTCCATCAAGGGTGTCGTGTCACCTTCGGGACAGCACCTGGATGACATCAACCGGTGCTGGAAGCACAGAAAGAGGGTGTGCACGCACCTCATCAGGAGATGGACAAGGGAGTACATAGCGATGCTACGCTCCTGGACCGTGTCCCCTCGCGGTCGTCCGATTCGCACACCACAGGTCGGGGACGTAGTGCTAGTGCACGGAGAAGGCCCTCGCGGCCACTGGCCATTGGCGATCGTTGAAGAGCTGATTACCGGATGCGATGGACACAGCAGAGCTGCCATCATCAAGATGAGAGGGAAGCGGACACGACGGCCCATCAACCGACTATACCATCTTGAGACTGACTGATCTCTTCTGACATAAAACTAGTCATGCGGAGACTAGCAACATGACTCTCCTTACCCACCACCACACTCACCCATCTCGTTACCAACCCCTGAATGTACTTTTTTAACAGAAACCTCGATGTGGCCCCACACACTTGTTACCCTACCCTCTTGCGTATGTGTGTGTTTGTACTTTGCCCAATGCCCATAAATCATACTCACGATTAATGTAACTCTGCCATCAGAATGCCGACCTCTTCAACATGTTGAGTCAGGAGACGGAGGAGGCTGAGTCTTGGTTCCGCCAGTTCGACTGCGACGGGGCACCAGCCAAGCCCTGCGGTACCGCCCTGCCGGACGCCGCCGGTGTTCGGCACCGGCGGCCTGCGGTCGACTGCGACGGAGCACCAGCCAAGCCCTGCGGTACCGCCCTGCCGGACGCCGCCGGTGTTCGGCACCGGCGGCCTGCGGTCGACTGCGACGAGGTACCAGCGAAGCCCTGCCGTGCCGCCCTGCCGAGCGCCGCCGGTGTTCGGCACCGGCGGCCTGCGGTCCACCTACTGCTGGGTGACTCCGTCGCTCGAGACTCTCGCATGGACTCGCGTCTTCCTGGCGACTGGCTGATAAACCGCGCTCGAGGAGGTGCCACCTGGGCGTCAATTCTGCAGCACCTTGATGAGGACCTTCTGCGCTGGGAACAGGGAGCATCCGCCTTCGGACTGGCCAGGGGATCGATAATCCTGTGGCTCAGTGGGAACGATGTCCATAGTCGACTTACTGGGCTAGGCAACATCGACGACAACAAGCTGATCCAAATAGGCCTAGACGTACGGGCTACAAAGAAGATGATAGATAGCCTGAAGACAGTGACGGCATGTCCCTTGTACTTTGTGCCCCTGGGTCGCGCGTTGACTCGGAAGCTCTTTAACCGACATTCCGTACGAGACGAATGCCGCGAGTGGTATCTCCCTGATGGAGTACACCTCAATGAGGCTGGCTACCAGAAGTTGACCGACCTCATACCGATCTGGCTGCGGACCTGTGGGTAGATACGCGATGCGAACCCCAAGCCCTGAGGGGATGCGCTAATCGCCCATATGAAGTCACTTGCGTGTTTCGAAAACAAGTGCGATTTGTTTTCGAGTGGGGAGTGTGTTAAGTTTGTATTCAAGTATGCATTTATGTTATCGTCCCAAGTTATATTTGTTTGCGTCGCGTCGTGTTATGTTACCGCGCTGTGTTATTGAGCGGCGACGCTGCCCCGCCCGGCCGCTCGCCGCGGCCCAGCCGGCCGGCGTGACACGGGGGGCGCATGCGCGCTGACCTGGCGCCGGTCACGTGATCGGTGGCGACCTCGGCCCGGCGGCGCCTGGACGGGGGCAGTAGGCGATCGGGAGGCGGGGCGGACGGTGGTCGGTATTCTGGATCGGTCACTTGTCCGCCTCTGTCTCTCGGTCCCTGCTCCCCCAGTCCTCCCGCCAGTCTGGAGTGGAGTGGCATATTGAGCCGCTTCCACCTTCCGCCGGAGTTAGGGCCGTCAACGGGCCGTCAATTTCCGGCCATTACCTACCCACTGACTATTACCTACCTGTGTGATTGTGCCACCTTTGCCAAATACAGCCACTGAACCGTATTTTATCTCTTTGGTCCTTAATTCATTTTTTTATGCGCCTGATTCTCAACTCTTCAACATCAATTTTAACATAACATAAAAATGAAACTAAAAACTAAAAAAATGAATTAAGGACCAAAGAGTTAAAATACGTTTAAGCGGCTGTATTGGCGATGGTGGTACATAATCACACAGGCAATGGTCGTGGGTAGGCAGGGCACTACACAGGTAATGGTCGGTGGGTAGGCGCACACAAAAGGTGGGTAGGTGCCGACCGCCCAGCGGAAGGTGAGGGCAGCTCTGGATGCCACCCCCACCCCGACTGGCGAGGAAGGCCGAAGGGAGCAGGGACCGAGAGACAGATACGGACAGCCGTGGCCGATCCGGAATACCGGCCACCGTCCGCTCCGCCTCCCGCTCGCCTACTGCCCCCGTCCAGGCACCGCCGCGCCGAGGTCATTGTCGATCACGTGACCGGCTCCAGGTCAGCGCGCATGCGCCATAGCGGTCACGCCGGCCCGCGGCGGGCGGCCAGGTCGGGCAACGCCGTCGACCCGCTCGATAAATACAACGCGGTAACATAATACGACGCGACGCAAGGTAACAAAATATAATTGCGACTATAACATAAATACAAACTTAACATACTCCCCACTCGAAAACAAATCGCATTTGTTTTCGAAACGCCGATGTCCACAATCACACAAATCACTGTCAGTCTATGTTAAGTTTGTATTTATGTTATAGTCGCAATTATATTTTGTTACCTTGCGTCGCGTCGTATTATGTTACCGCGTTGTATTTATCGAGCGGGTCGACGGCGTTGCCCGACCTGGCCGCCCGCCGCGGGCCGGCGTGACCGCTATGGCGCATGCGCGCTGACCTGGAGCCGGTCACGTGATCGACAGTGACCTCGGCGCGGCGGTGCCTGGACGGGGGCAGTAGGCGAGCGGGAGGCGGAGCGGACGGTGGCCGGTATTCCGGATCGGCCACGGCTGTCCGTATCTGTCTCTCGGTCCCTGCTCCCCTCGGCCTTCCCCGCCAGTCGGGGGTGGGGGTGGCATCCAGAGCTGCCCTCACCTTCCGCTGGGCGGTCGGCACCTACCCACCTTTTGTGTGCGCCTACCCACCGACCATTACCTGTGTAGTGCCCTGCCTACCCACGACCATTGCCTGTGTGATTATGTACCACCATCGCCAATACAGCCGCTTAAACGTATTTTAACTCTTTGGTCCTTAATTCATTTTTTATGCGCCTGATTCTCCACTCTTAAACCACCACTTTTAACATAGTCCTCCGCGGGCCGGATGCGCCCTTTTGGCTGAAATTTTTCACTTACCCAGAGGCATCTTGAAGTTTGAACCATGGAGGATCAGGTTAAATTAAGGACCAAACTCAGGACCAAAACCACTAAACTAGTCAATGACACAAAGGCATACCGAGCCAAAGACCATAAAGACATTGACATTGACTACCTGGCATACAAAGTTCAACAACTGAATGAACTGCGAGACGATTTGAAGGCTGTTCAAATTCTTCTAGACAAAGAAGGCCATCCCGATGATTCCCCACACAGTGAAATGCTGTCTGAGGAGATATTTATGGCGTCTCGTCTGCTGGCCCGACTCGAGGGAGCGGCGAGGGGAGCGACGCAGGCCGGAGCGCTTGAACATGACGTCAGCCTGAGTAGCGACCTCCGGTCCTCACTCGTTGTTAAGATACCTACCTTCAGCGGAGACCTGATGAAGTGGCGCTCGTTCTGGGAGCTGTTCGCCGTCTCCATACACAGCAACAGCCGGTACAGCAACATCGAGAAGTTTGTGGTCCTGAAGTCGCACCTCAGCGGCTCAGCCCAGAAGGCCATCGACGGCATCCCTGTGACTGGAGACGGATATCTTGCCGCCATCGACATCCTCAAGAGGAGGTTCCAGAGAGAGGACATCGAGAGGGAGACTCTGATGAGACGTCTCTTTGATGCACCTGCCGTCCACAACGGGAACGACCTGAGCGCCATGCGGAACCTCGTAGACCACCTGTCTGCCCACACGCGTGCTCTGGCCACCCTCGGAGTGAACCCCGACAGCTGTTCCATTCTGCTTCTTCCAGTCATGAAGGAGAAGCTTCCTCAGGACTGGCGACTGGAGTGGGTTCGACAGGAACAGCCCAGCTACGAGCACCTGCTGCTGTTTCTGGAAAGGGAGCTGGCACTCCGAGAAACCGTCCGAGCCCCCAGCCCACCCCCCAAGTCCAGCGACACCATCCTCATCTCCTTCCACAGCTTCTGCCCTGTCCATCCAGCGGCAGACACCGGCGAAACAGGCCAAATCATGGACCTGTGAAGCGTGTGGCCGAGGACAGCATGGACTGAACCAATGCCTGGCATACAGAGCCATGACAGTCGTTGACCGATGGAGGACAGTGGGCAAAACTGGTGTTTGCTACCAGTGCCTGGGCCCTCACAGGGTTCGGTCCTGTATGAGCCATCCATGTTCGTCCTGTGGGGAGCCTCACCACACATCGCTTCACCATCCGACCCAGCACCAACCGACAAGGCCTGCACCTGAGGCACCGAATCTGCCACCACCATTTACCGCGTCGTCAGGATACCGACCTGACTACGTGGGGAGTGCCACCACGCAACGACCATCACTTACCACCACATCAGGATACCGACCTGATGATGTGCCGACCCACCACACATTCCACAGTCGCAGAAGTGATGACATGTGTAGCCTCAACCCGATGGAGGTCTCAGACCAAGAAGCTGTGAACCGAGACGGCCTCCCAGTGACCGAACCCTCCTGTAACGACACCGCACAGCGGTGCAAGACGAATCTTGTGCAGGAGTTGTACTGCCAATCAGTAGCCAGCTCTGCCAACCGGTCCACTCACCAGATGATGATGCCGAAACGGAAGCTTGAAACCAGCCAGCCACCCAAATCCGAGACGCGGAGCGATGCTGTCATCGAAGAAACAGCAACCAAACCACCGAAACCGACATCGAATGTGGAGGATACCGCCCTCCAACCCACCTCTGAACATGGTGGAGGAGACCGCTCCATTGGCACACCGGCCATTGGATACTCCACCAACCTGAATGATGATGCCGCCCTCTTCCCTCCTCACCATGAAAGTAGGAAAAAGAGGAAGCTACGTGACGTACTTGAAGGATCTGTGGAAGACATCACCGGACAGAGTCTTGCACAACACCTACCTGCAACCGGACAAAAACCGACCGTGACAACTGGTGGCTGTGACACTCAGTTCCCAAGCAGGGAAACGGCATACCAGACTGACACCTGGAAGAGCTGCCGTCGGATGATGGAAACGGGACCACAACGATCCGTCAGCAGACTGCACCGCCACAACATTGAGCCTGACTAATCTGACGTCTCATCAAACTAGTCATACGGAGACTAGTAGCACGATTCATCTTTACCGACATTTTTCACAGCACTCGCCATTCACCACGGCATCACCGCCAGCATATGCATCATGAGCACAAACTTCTTCTTGGCCTTATCTGCCTTTGTTATAGCCCCACGCTTACTACTGTGTGATCTGTGTGTTTGGTTGTGTGCGTGTGTGGATGTGTCTGTGCTCTGCCCGTACATCATACTCACGATGAATTTAACTCTGCCATCAGAACGTTGGCCTCATCAACATTTTCAACCAAGAGATGGAGGAAACCCAGTCCTGGTTCCGCCGGATGGCGGTGAGGCGTCGGTGAGGACCCGCAGTACCGGCTCGCCAGACGCCGCCCGGTGTTCAGCGCCGACAGCCTGCGGTTCATCTCCGACTGGGCGACTCAGTGGCTTGAGACTCCCACATGAGCTTCCTCGCCAGTCGGGAGTAGGGTCGGCATTTTGAGCCGCCCTCGCCTTCCACTGGGGCTTCAGACTGCGAGCGCGCCGGTCATCTTCCAGTCGACGGTTTACCACGTCCCGACAATATGGGCGGCAACGAAACTTTGCGGTGCCGGCACATCAGATCAGACGCAACCGGCGCTCATTGTACCGACGACCTGCGGCGCGCCTCCTACCAAGCGACGCAGTGACCTAGTGGGGTTAAGACTATCCTAGTGGGGTGACCTAGTGGGGTTAAGAGTTTCCGAGCATCCTCCACGTAGCCTGTGTTCCAAAGACACGAACCATATTCAATAACTGGTCTGACGTGGGTCTTGAAAAGGAATGTCATAAAATCAGGATTGCGACACACTGTGGATTTGAGGAAGCTGTGGCAGAGTCCTGATGCTTTGTGAGCGACGGATTCAATGTGTAGGTGGAACTTCAAGGATATGTCCACTGTAACCCCTAAGTCAGGATGTGAGCTGACAAAGGGTAGCGGGTTCCCATTAAGGACATAGGGGGTGGGGGGCACCCGTTCTAGGTTCCGGGAGGATCTGGAGAATCTTAGCACGGCGCATTTACTGGCGTTCAGATGCAGTCCCCAGGATTCAGAGGTGCGCACCAGAACGTCCACATCAGATCGCAATGACTGCACAGGGTTGGTATCGTCTGCGTCAGTCAACCTGCTAGTGCATGCATAAATTTTTAAAAGGATTCTCCCACCAACATTAGATTTGAGTTGAGATAGCCAAAATGGGGTCCCTGGCTCACAATTACCGGTTTCGGCACTCACAACATCGAGAAATGCCTTAAATAGGAAATATTGAATTTCAAAATTGCAGCATTTTGATATTTTGATTCAGAGGGGCTAATGCATAGGAATACCCCTCTGAATGTGTGACGTCAGCGCAGATATCTAACGATTTTTAAATGTTTGACTAGAACGTTTTGTAGCACGCGGTGGTATATGCTGCTTTGCGCGCAACAAGTGCCGCACTTTCAGCTGCCAAACTATTGCTTCCAAATAAAGTCGCTAGGAACAGCGGAGATCCCAAAAAGTAAACAAAAGTAAAAGTCTAATATCTTGAAAACCGGTGAATATTTTTCGGTGAAATTTGGTAGATATTCGTTTTCGCTCTTTCTGAACCGAGCGACATCACTTTCATGCCAATTCATAAACTTTTTTGAAGGTGGGAGGGTCCCTTTACGTCATCAGCGAACACCTTATGCTTACAAGACAGTTGAGAGGCTATGTGGTTGATATACACAAGAAAAAGGAGAGGGCCGAGGACCGATCCCTGAGGGACACCACTTAAAGGGACCCTCCCACCTTCAAAAAAGTTCATGAATTGGCATGAAAGTGATGTTGCTCGGTTCAGAAAGAGCGAAAACGAATATCTACCAAATTTCATCGAAAAATATTCACCGGTTTTCAAGATATTAGACTTTTACTTTTGTTTATTTTTTGGGATCTCCGCTGTTCCTAGCGACTTTATTTGAAAGTGCGGCACTTAATGCGCGGAAAGCAGCGTATACCACCGCGTGCTACAAAACGTTTTAGTCAAACATTTAAAAATCGCTAGATATCTGCGCTGACGTCACACATTCAGAGGGGTATTCCAATGCATTAGCCCCTCTGAATCAAAACGCTGCAATTTTGAAATTCAATATTTCCGATTTAAGGCATTTCTCGATGTTGTGAGTGCCGAAACCGGTAATTGTGAGCCAGGGACCCCATTTTTGCTATCTCAACTCAAATCTAATGTTAAGGTGGGAGGGTCCCTTTAATATAGCCTTAGAGCTACTCAATATGTCCATCACGCCGACCTGTAACGTTCTGTGAGAGAGAAACGATGAGATCCAGTCAAGCAGCAAGCCCATGGGTGGAGAACCTGCCCCGGCCACCCCGGCCGTGGCCGGGGTAACTTTCAGCCTACCCCGGCGCGGCCGGGGTAACTTTTCTACTCTTGTAAATCCTAAAAGCTGTCTCCATACGAGAAAAGAAAACTCACGCTCTTCGAATGTTGACTTCCATGGGCGTAATATTGCAAATCAGGTAGGTATTTACCATTTACTTAACTTGCCATAATCTCCAACCCTAAGACCCGCGTGTGGTCGCCAATGCCAAGATTGCTCTCACATCCTGTTCAGTTTCGAAATTTTGGCGCGCTTTCGGCGCACTTTTTCAAAACTACTGCTTGACCTCATTGCCTTCAACTGACCTGCCACCAACCGCAACCACATCCGTTTAAGAGCGTACCCGTCAGGGTGCTCATAAACACCGAGCGGCCATCATGCTTCGAACTCGGACTGTTGTAACCGGGCCGCGTGCTCTCGCCACGCGGAATCCAACGCTCTAGCAACTGAGCTACGAGACCGGGACCGGTCGATATTCCTTGATCGACTCCCTGTTTGTATTATAAGAGCCGCCCAACATTGAAAAAGGCTACGCCCGTGGACGTCAGTGACCTATTTTAGTGCTTTGCTTGGTTCGATCTGTCAATTTCTCTGTAAAGCTTCTACTATGGTGAGTTGTCTTTTTGTAGCTATTTTGAGACACAATAAAAAGCTGAAAACGCAACATTTAGATTTTAGGTACTCAAAATGGCATAAGGTTTGGTTTGGGTTCGGTGTGAAATTGGAAGTTTAAGTAAAAAGAAATAATAATTTAAAAGGAAATTGCCTTTTCGATCATTCCAAAAATGTTATGAATAATACGGTGTCGGATACAACGCTCATCCTTGAGCAAACAGCATCCTATTCCATGCGTCAGAATAGGGGTTTGATGATGACCGTTGAGAACAACGTGAGTATATCGTCTTCCCGCGACTATGTGTCGCCGGCCGGGGTAGCTTTTTCAAACATTCTCCACCCATGAGCAAGCCATCAATCCCGATGAGGCGAAGTTTGGTCAATAGTATGCTGTGGTTCACAACATCAAAGGCCTAGCTGTAGTCAAACAGGATTACAGGTCGAGGCGCAGGTCATGTCAAACAACCGCAACACATCGGTCGGTATCTTGCTTGACCCTCCTTTCATATGTCCCTTGCCTGCATGCACTTTTGTCCTCCACTGGAGTGAGTTCCTAACCGAATCTCTCCGCCTGGAAGGCCGAGGATGACTGGTTGTCACCAGTCGTCACTTCCACGAAACCGAAAAGAGAGGACGAGAGTTTCGTGGCTATGTGCTGTGGCAGAGATGCGCACTTGGAATGATTGATACTCGATGGTTTATTTGAATATCGGTTTGAGTAACTCAAAGTCCTGCTTTGCTCAATCATAAAGAATGATCAGCAATCGGCGGCCAATAATTATCAACTAGTTTCAATTCGGAGACGTGTGCTACCACTTAGCAAAACGTGTCAGTATGAGCAATGATACCATTTCCTAGTTTCAGCCGTACTTTTATGCCGGGGAAATTCCAGTTCATCAATCCAATGCACTCAGTCAGCCCAAGTGGCTTCCAGCAATTCATTTGGTAGAAATTGATTA